GATCTATTTTAATGAGTTGAAAAATACTTTTGGCATTTGGCTGAATTGTCTGCAGGCTGTGCCAAATGGCAGCTCTAACTGGCAAACTATCCACTAAAACCTTTGTGAAAGTAATGGTTGTCCCGTTGCAGTTATTGTCAAGATGGTAATTGATAGATTGAATATGAGTCATCACCTTGGTGTACAAAAGAATTCCCTTGGTGTGATGCACCACTTATTGATAAATAAATGTGCCAAAGCTTAAAAAAAATCCCAACTGTGGTTGCAATTAAAAGATATTATTTCATGCCTTATCTTTACACAGGAACCAAAAGTTTTCAATTAGACATAATAATAGTGGAGGTATTTTTGATTCATTTACTTATTTATTTTCTGGTTGGAACTGCATTTAAAACCTTTTGGCATTTACAGGTTAGAATAATATGCCAAGCAAATTGAAGCAGTCTAGGCCACTATGTTTGAGATCTTATAAATTGTAACTCTGCTGACACACTGATTTTCTTTTGTGCCATTTTGTCCTGCCTTCTCAGCTTGAAAAGCCAGTGAAGACAACTAAATGGGTCAGTCCTCTCAAGCTGAATAAAGCTGCCAAAGATCCAGTAGCTGGTACCGTTTGCATGGTGTCTGGATGGGGAAAAACAAACAATGCAAGAAACAAAATGTCCAATGTCCTTAAGTCTGCCAATGTGACCGTTATCGACAGAATGAAGTGCAATTCTCCAAGTTATTACAACCTTCAACCATATATTACCAGGAACATGATATGTGCCGGATCAGACGGTCAAAACAACGCCGACACCTGTGAGGTAGGATGGACCTAAAATCCTTTTATCACTACAATAAGTGTAAATTTGTTTTGAAAGCCATCGTCAAATGTGTCTTCTCTCTCTAAGGGGGACTCTGGAGGACCAATACTGTGCAAAGGAAATCTAGTTGGAGTCACGTCTTTTGGGAAGTTATGCGGAAAAAAAGAAAAACCTGGAGTTTACACTTTTCTTTCAGACAGTGTTCTTAATTGGATCAAGAAAACAATGAAGACACCTCAAGCTGAATAGCACTGCTGTTTAAATTAATGTTAATCGCTTTTAACTCCTTTTCCTGAGTCCTGTGTTTATCCATCTTTGCTTCTGCTATTAAATTAATTTCCTAAAGACAAGTGGTAAATAAAAAAAAGAAAATAGGTTACATCCTTTATTTTTGTACAGTTAGTAGATCTTTAAAGAAGTGCAGCTTCTTATTGGCATTAACATTAATGGCAGGAATGTAATAAAACTTGCCTTCCTCTCCCTGTTCTTACATACTCTATTTAACAATGATGATATTGTATTTGTCTTACCCTGTAGTAAAGATGTTGGTAAAATTCTCTTTGTGAAAATGTGCTATATAAATAAATAATTACCCTAATACTACCTCTTATTTGGAAAATTTACATTTTTATGCATTAATATTAAAGGGCCAGAGTGGTACAGTACGTCAAAATTGTATTATATAGAAAAAAACAGCCATCCACAAAATGAATCTGTCATGATAGGCTTAAGAGGCTGAACCCACATGCAGAACACCACAGGAAGCTGAGTAAAAGTTTAACAGAGTTTATTGAAAAACACACAGAGTAATTATGAACTGGTTCTGGTACAGGTCCGGGACTGGAATCACTGACATCTGCAGAGATGGATAGTTTGATTAGCCAGGCAGCGAGATGGCTTGTCGAGTGTGTAAATTCAGAATGTACCTAGATGAGGTTCTGGCAGATCCTTAGAGAGAGGGGGAACCGGTTGGGTCCAGAGACTGTAGATTCAGCAGGGAGCTCAGCGACAGCAGCGTCTAGCTTCTGACTCGTGAGTTTCAGACCTTGACTTGGTTTCCTAGCTCTTCCTTGAGAGCTGTTGGGGGTGTCCAGACTGATGTCTTCGGGTTTGGCTTCCTTGGGCAGGCCGGCAGGTTTCCAGACAAAGCTCATCCAGAGCTTCAGACTTCGATCAGGTTTGCTATGAGGCAGAGAAGACAGAGGCAGGTTAGAATCTAGTTTCTCTCTAGAGTCTACTAGGATTCTATAAATTAACAGAGGCTACTCATGTACTACATTTACTGTTTGATTATAGCATCTAATTAAATATTTGAGGAATATGTATAATTATATATTCACACATTCTGGCATGTTAAAGGCTAAAATTAAATATTAAAAATTTGATGAATAACATGATTAAGAAAATAATGAAACCGTCAAGTTAGGCTACCAATAAGAAATATCACTAACATAAACTGCGTTTGTCTGTGGTTGGTTTTGATTCAAAAATATTTGTTCTTCATAAAGTTACGTTACTCTTCATTAGTAAAAAAGCCAAAAATTGTAGTAGTATCCTGAGTTCTTTGGTGAAAGGCTGTAATATCAGTGAACAAGCATCATTCATGGCCTGTCCATTGTGTAACCAAGTCCATAAGGCTAAAAGCAGCCCTGATTCTGCACAGCAGTGCAGAGCTTCTATCATATCCTTGATAGTGTTTTTATTGTTGACCATGCATAAGGGTTAACTCCTACCTGCCAGCTAACAACAGGAGGTAGGACCTATAATATCAGGTTTTTTTGTTTAAGCCTTTTGTACTTTAAGCTTCACATGACCAGTATCTTTATGATTAGATAATTAAAGGCTTCATCTCAACAAAAGTCAAACTCTAGTTGTATTACGGCTACCCTTGCATCAAAAAACTTTCCAAAAATAAAAAATAAAAAAATTGAGTTGTCTTAGGGGGAGGCTTTTCGACTCACAAAACAAAAAGCACTCGTGGAGAATTTTTTTGTTTCAAAAGGCGTGTTTTCTTTACTTATAAAAATAACAGAAATAGTCTCCAAGTTGACCTACAAAAAATTCAAGTCAAACAAACAATCAGATCAACCTTAGCAGCTGCTTCTACTTGTTAATCTCAGCAGGAGACGGACTGACAAGGAGGAGGGTCTAAGCAAAACCAATACATAAACAAATAAACAATAGCTCTACCATTCACACAACCTTAGATCTGTAACATTAATAATTTAGAAAAAAATAAATTAATTAATCTAATTCTTAATAGGCTCCAAAAAGTTGCTTAAAGCAATCTATTGACCTTACCAAGCTGTGTTGCTCTCCCTTTATATGATTTTGTTTTTACATTAAATAATTATCTTGTTTTTTACTGCCTTAAAAGTCTGTCTCTTTTCTTGGTACAAATGCTGTTTTCTTCTTTTGTTTTTTTATTCATCCATTTTTCATTTGTTCTCGCTCCTCTGTGGTTTTATACGTGTTACTAAGAACGTTTTGCTCCTTTATGTGGCTGTTCTTGTATAGCTTATTGAGCTTTTTTCTGCAATGTGGTTAAGAGCAGATTACGTAGAGATTTCCACTGAGTGGTTTCAGCCACATTTACTTGTTACCACTTTGCTAATCATTAGAATGCCTTTACTGTTCACAGTTTGCCAAAGTACAACCTCAAACTTCAATATAAAAAGCAACAAATAGACCAATACAAATTCTCAATGTTACGATATAAAAAATATGAAGGGTTTTTAATCTTTTGTTTAATAAGAAAATCTGAAAATGGTTGGGTGCATTTTTCTGCAGTTACAGCTGCAAGTCTTTTTGATACACCAGTTTTGTACATAGAGACAAGCATTTTGATTCCTCTTTGTAAATTACCTTGAGCCCAAGTAGATGGATGGAAAATATCTCTGAACAGCAGTTTTTTTTCAGACTTGCCACAGATTCTTATATATACATAGTTGGCAATTGGGCTGTGATCTTTATTGAAGGAACCAAACATACTGGGCTGAGTTCCAAGTCATTCTTTTTTACAGATGTACACAAGCACTGCTCCTTTCTTATGTCACTGACTGAAAAAGAGGACGGGCACAAGAAAAGGAGCAAAGCAGAGTACACCTGATGTGCTCCTTTGAAATGCAAGTGCTGAATGTCTTTATCTGAGCTGTCCACACTGCCTTCACATGGGTGTTGGTACACAATAGTCTAAGCTGTGGTGAAGGGCAGGGTTTGACAACTTGGCTCGTACAAAAAGACAAATTTGATTAAACTCCAACAAAGCCTATTTGATCCAAATAATACACCACCATGGCTGCTCAGTGGCTGGCTGCCTTGCAGCAAGAAGGTTCTGGGTTTGATTACCGGCCTGGAGTCTTTCTCTATGGAGTTATCAATTGGTCGATAAATATGAAAACTGAGTATTTTGAATTGTCCTTTGAAAAGAAATTATGCTCAATACCCACATATACAACCATTGATGATATAAGTATCTTAAGATTTTTCACAGTTAAATTTTACACTTAATTGTAATTAATGACATGAGGAAATGTTTGGATATTTTTTTCCAAACACCAAAAGTAAACCATATACAGTAGTCAGATGCTGAGGCAAAAGGGCAAGAAGAAAACAGAATGAATCTCCAAAAGTGTACTTTTTAATAAGTAGTAAGACATTTTTGGATACAATAGAGGAAAATTAGCAGAGATTGTTCAAGAAATTAGCAAACTACAATGTAAGGTAATAAATCCCATGCAGAATAGCTGATTCCTATCAGCTAAGCCTTGTTGATACTATGGGTTTCCTTTCTTGACACTAGGTGGTGCCCTCTTCCTTATTAAAGCAACTGAACTAAAGGCAGCCATCAACAAGTGAATTCAGAGAATTTTCAGTGAGCTTTAAATTTTAAATAGAGTTCATTAAGAGCATTTTTAAAATACAAAGTAGAAGTGCAAGTAGTTAGCTGGTGACAGATGGCAAAAAGCTTCAGCGGTACCTGTGTACCTCAGCCTCTCTTCTGTCAGTGAGCCTGAGGGTAGCTGCAGCTACAATGTAGCTTGCCACCACGAGTATGTGCGTGAAAGGTGGAATGACTGAATTAAGTTTATAGCGCTTTGATCAAGTTTCCTGACCTAAAACAGCTTTATGTACAGGCCATTTGTCATTGGTTATGTTCTGTAGGTTTTGTTGCAGAATTTTATGCGCCCCTACCCATTTTTGTACTTGTCTCTCCATCGTGTCCTCGGCCTTCTTTTGTTGAGATGTGCCTGGAAAACCTCCCTAGAGAGGCATCCAAAAAAATATTTTCAAGCTGATTATTCTTGATGTGGATAAGAAGTGGCTGTACTCCAAGCCTCTCCCAGATGATCAAGCTCCTTAGATATCTCTAAAGAAATGCCCAGCCACCCTGCCGAGAAAGATACTTTCAGCAGTTCTAGGAAAGTAGACCATAGAAAGTGGATATTTTTTGAATTTTTACGGGATGACTATGACCTGGATGACTGAGAACCTTCATCAGCATAGACCAACGGGTAAATTGAGAGCTTTGGCTTTTCCCTCAGCTCTCGTTTCAGGACCATAAGATACTGAAACTCTTGAGGGACTGGTGCAAAAAGGATTGGGTATCAGTTAGAGGCAGATGCCTGGTCGACCTGATCCATGGTTCCATTTGCTCCTATACTCAAAAATTCATATTGAAAATATGTTTTTTCTATAGAGACACCTGACCTAGTGTATGTACAGTATATTACATATTGAGCTTTTAATTTTGCAAAAGATTTAAGCCAACTGGGGTGTTTCTACTTCTTTCTATTGTTGAGGTAACTTTTCATGTTTAAGTTGGTTTTGATTAGTTGCTCTTCCGACTTTCTGAGAGTCCAGATTTTAGTTAATAAAAAATGGTGTGTGGACAAACTGGAAATAAGTGAAAAGAGTAGACTTACTCAAAAGAAAAAAAAAAAATAAAGACCATTTTTGGGAGAATAGTTGTTTGCCATTAAATATATATGTAAGGGAACTGATGTAATGTGACAACATAAAAGTCTCTGTAAGAAAATAAGAGATGAAAGGCAGAGTAAAACTTTTCATGACAAGTAGCCCAATCCCTTGAAAATGGAAAAAGGGAGGGAAAAACAACACTACCACACCCATGAAATTCCAGCATGTCCTTTATTTGTGCTCCTCTTGAATTATTACTGTCCAGCCATGTCCCTGTGTGTTTTCACTGTCTCCATGGTCACCCACAAAAGGTTGAAGGCCCACCTCAAGGCCATCGAAACTTCCAAAGCTCGACACACCCAAATTAATTGATTTTGAGACACAGATAATGCAGTGAGTGTTTTGACGCCATTTTTTAGCATGTTTTATTTTCCACCTCTACCATCCCAATCCAGATCACACAAAACAACGTAATATTGGTATAACTGTTTACCTGGATTTGCATCACCTTGTGTTTGATGCCCACCTCGCCTTGCCTCACCTTGCCTTTTTTCCCCTTAGTGACGCAACACAAAGCAAACACATTGTCAAACCTTGTTAAATAAAGGCAACTGGATGTTGATGTATTTGGTTAACTGAGTCAGTCTTTGTAGGCCTTTTTAAGTACACATTCTTTGTGATGACAGTTGAACCATTAAAATGATTAGACAACCAATCTGCTTTATAACTTAAGTGTGCTTGAGGAGGGTTTTGTGTAGGGACAGGCAGATAAAAAAACTTTATTAAACCACAGATGTGAATTAAGTTTAATGTGATTTGAAAAATCACATCTAATAAAAAATAAGGTTTAGTGAGCAACAGAACTGATCGCAAGTGAGCCAAATACTTTTGGCAGAATATGCATATATAAAATATTGACTTACAGTGCATAGGAAGTAGGCGTTTGCCCTGCCAGTTTCGTCACTCTGTTGTTGTGTCCTTAGACAAGACACTTTCCTGCATTGCCTACTGGTGATGTTCAGAGGGTACTGTGTACAGCAGCAGTCTCGCTTCTGTTAGTACGTCAAAAGGGCAGATGTGACTACAATGTTGATTGCCATCGTCAGTGGGTGAATAACTGAATGCAATGTGAAGTGCTTTGAAGTCTGCTGACTTCAAAAGGTGCTTTAATAAGACCGGGCCATTGAAAATATCTAAAATCTGTATATATGAAGCAGAGCATTCTAGTTAAAACCATAACTATATAAGGAGATTAGGAATCTTCACATGCCTGTAGCAACAGTACAAATGCTTCGATTCCTCACTCATCAAATAAGCAAAAATCATAGCAGATTGTCAGGTTCAGATGCTTATTGTTTATAATCCTATTTATAAGTTCTCAGTTCCACTTTGATTTATGTTATTCTGGGTTTTCTTGTTCATTGGTTTCTTTTGAATTTTATGTTATTCATGCAGTTTTGTATTTCTCGAGCTATTCTTTGTTGCCCCCTTGTGCCTGTTTTCCTTTCCCCTTGGCCCCGTCTAGTTAGTTCCATTGACACCTGCTCCAAAGCAGCTCATTATCCCATTCTTTGTTCTGTTCTCCACATATACGCCACCTCTGCAGTCCATCATTGCTGGTTTCTTGTTGATTTGTTGTTACTCAGATACCTGCGTGGGATTCTCAGTGGCATCTCCTTTTCTTTTTTTTTGCTTTTCTGTATTTTTGATTTTTGGATTTCTGCCCCTTTTTCTTTGGGTTTTACATTAAACCTGCAAACTCATCTCTGCTTCCTCATCTCTGCATCTGGGTCCTCATAAACCTCCACACCTCTACACAACCTGACACTTGTGAAGGCAATATAATGTGACTATGCACCTTGGGAAAAGCACAATATGGGACAATAAATTACATTAATATTTAGTTTATAACAGCTAGCTGCGTGTTTGGTGTGTCGGCTCTGTCTTCTCAATTCCCACTGGGTTGTGGGGAATTTCTCATTAATGTACACTCAGCAACCCATCTTGCCAGAAAAATTAAAAAATGTAGAAATGTTTGCAAATTTATTAAAATACACAAACTGAAATATCGAATGGTCATAAGTATTCAGAGCCTTTGCTATTACACTCATATATAACTCACATGCTGTCCATGTCCTCTGATTCTCCTTGAGATGGTTCTGCTCCTTCATTGGAGTCCAGCTGTGTTTAATTAAACTGATTGGACTTGATTAGGAAAGGCACACACCTGTCTATATAAGACCTTACAGCTCACAGTGCATCTCAGAGCAAACAGGAATCATGAGGTTGAGGGAACTGCCCAAGGAGACTCTGCTATTGATATTTTCCATTAATTTATTGGTGTTATTTTGATTAAAACAGCTAAATTAAGGAAAACTGTTCAACCTTATTAAGATGATACTCAAATATACTTATCCCCTTTTCAAAATATTACTAATCACTCAGTCAGAAGGAAGTATTGCCCCAGTTACCTGTCACTTTTTTTAATTTTGTTTGGTTGGTTTTTGCTTGTTTGAATATCTAAATTCATAAAAAACCTGCTTATGTATTTAGATAAGGGTAACTGATGCAGACGACTTGCTGTGACTACCCCTGAAAGGGGAAAGCAGAAAGATGAAAAATACGTAAATACACAAAACACACTGGAATTATAAAATAAAAACACTGGAAACACTGGAACATTTAAAAATCTGGACAAATCTAGTAACATAATTTACTGTGTATTTGAATGTGATTTAAATTATTACAAACAACTGTCTTTCTTTTTTATGGGTTTGGTCTTTATTTGAATCTGAGACGTGTTTTCTTAGAATCTCCCTCAGGGTTATTTTTGTCCACTGTCCACATAATATTTCAGCGATGAAGGCACACCGATACGAAGGAGTTTTTAAGGACATGTTTCCCATTCAGCTTCCTGTTTCAAGTGGCCTACGACCTGCTAAAGGCCAAACTAGGCACTTCCCAGCTGACAGCTACACTAAGTAGCAACCAAATCCCTCCAGAGAGGTTTGTGCTTGCTGGACCAAGTCAGACTACCTTTCCTATGATTCAGAAGGAGCTGATCGTTGTGACTGCCTTTTCCTGCGATTCAAACCTTGTCATAAGAGCCACCTGCTGCAGCAAAGGAGAGCTAATCCAGCTCTGGTCGACCTAAGGCTAGGCATCAACTGTATGATATTTTCAATGGTTGTACTCAGCTTCAGTTCAAACTGTAAGATGAAACTGCAGGGTTTAAAAGTTCACAGCTCACGAGGTATGTTTGTACATCGTATGGCCTGATGCTCTGATGTGATCTAACTGCTCACTAACTGCTCCAAAACCCACATGTCAGACTCAACACTGAGATATGGCGCCGGTCGGACTCGTCAATCTGGAAGAAGAAGTCAAACTCCCTTTTTGGACATGTGCTCTGCTCCAGCAGGAGGATTTGCCCACAAACACCTCAGGAGGGCCAACTGAATTTGATTTTACTCCTGACCTCAAGATTCCTGATCGAGAGGTGGTAGTGAGAGGCTAATTGCCCCTCGTTACCCCCTGTTATTATTATTAGCGAAAGCAAGTGGATTTTAAACAGCTGATCCGGAAGTCCATCCATTTATGTAAGAGACTAAGAACCCTGGTCAGTAAGCAAATTACAGTTATAATCATACAACTGATAATAATTAATTAGTTGTACCCCTGATTTAAATTACCTATTAATTAACTATATCTTCCCGTTCTAGTTATTTAATATATTTATAATCTTCTGGTAAACATGCACAACACCACTGAACATCTAGCTTCAAGACTGTTGTGTTTTTGTGAGTGGTCTGATGACACATGTAATGACTTCATAGAAAGGAATGTAAACAAGACATTAGACAAAAGATAAGTGGACAAAGAAATACTTAGGTAATTTATTCAAAATCAAATTTAAGCACTTTTCAAGAGTTTGATGCATTTTGAGTTTTTTGACCTAAAACAAATGAAGTGCAATAAATAAAACCAAACCTACAAAAAAAAAAAAGAAAATAAAAGGTTGAATGCTCAGCATTCATTTAAACATGACATCTTAAAAATAAATTCAACAAACACAGGTATAGTTTATAAGCAATAAATATTCACTCTAAATAAATTAATTAGCGCAGTTTTGTACGTCTATTTCTCTCTTGGGTCACTGGATTCTTCTTTTAATTGGCCACTTGTCTGTGGAAAAAAGTAAAACAAATATTTAGAGGAAAACAAGAGGAAACTAATCCTAAAGAGGCAAGTTAACACATGTATACATAGATTGCAGTATCTATTTTGGCGTGCAAGATCAGGATGTGCACAATAAGTGTGTCAGTACTGTTATTGTGCATACACTGGTAAATGTGCATGATCTGATATGTGGTTTCTCTTTATTATTAGTATGCTCTGCAAAGACAGCATATACTGAGACACCCTATGCTATG